AGCATGGACAGCTTCGTACAAAGTAAAACTTTGTGTTCTTCATCGATTTATCAGCACAGTATCGCTGCTCATAATAACATGCGTGATTTTTCTTCAAAGGCTAACTACGCGTTAATGAAAGGAGCGGATTGGCTGTTGCCGCTCATAACGTGGTTATACGCCCTCTTGGGCGCTGCTTGTAAATCTGTCAGTGGTTGCTACGAGCTTTGTTTTTCGCGGCACGTGCACGTAATACATCCTCGGGAATATGAACATGTAATATGCGTATCGTAACGCGAGATAGGCAACTCGTGCAAGCAGCACCTGTCTCGCGCTCGCTTTATACCATCGCGATCTTTATCGATCGACTTCCTTCTCGCGAAGGAAAATGCACCATTGTCTAGTGAAATGGAAATATCAGAGGAGCGTAAAAAGAGAAGCTAAACCTGATTCTAACACATCTAATAATTCGAGAAACTCGTTTTGTATTAATAAATTTCTTTCTCGAGGGGGAATAATTTTGAGAAAATGAATGGGGGGGGGGCGTTGATTGAAAGAATGAAAGAAAGAGAGCAAAAGAAAATAAATGAATTATATTTTCGCCAAAATATAATTCATACAAAAATGAAAATATATAAAAATTTATGTGAAAATCCGATTCATTTATTCTTTTTTGCTTTCTCTTTTGCTTTCTTTTAATTAACGCTAATTTATTTAAATTTATATTTTAATACTGAATAATAATTACTTTTTATAGGCTTGCTCGTGATATGCTTGTGATGCGTCACAATTGTATGCTCAAAATTCGACAGCTCTGCCGAATGCTCTATGCATAAATATGTTTTACGATTGGAATTTATCCACGAATTGATCATTCTACATTTCACATACGTAAAATCGTGGTATATATTACAAATTTATGCACGTTCTTACAGAGCAGATTAACTTTATCCTCTGCATCGTATCTTAACTTTGACCTCTCCGTCATATTTCGATCCCATCGACGGCGATAACTCGTCGGAGGCAACGCGCCTATTCGCCGTCGCGTCGCCGATGCGGTATTTACGACGGTGTGTAAAATAACGCTCAATGAAATTAACGGAGCCCGCTCGTGGCCGTTCGGTCCGCTTCTTCCACTCTTCGCCATTCTTCGCCGGCAGGAAGATCGCGCCGCGGATTCTTGTTCGCGCGTCGTACGCCTGTCTAGGAGAAGGCGCGATAAATATGTTAATTGAACAGTGCGGACCGTTACGCAGTCGACCCACGAGGCGCCGATTGTGCGTCGTCGGCGACGGCACCGTTTGGCCGCTCGTCCGTCCGCTAAGGAATACCATACCTGAACAGGTAGGGGACATGTCCGAGGCGCTCGAGGGCTCGCTCTATCGCGCCAAATCCGGCGAACGACGCTCTTCGCGCGCGTGCCTAATCTGTTACCCCGAAGATTACGTTTGTAGCGAGACTCGCGTTCGTTCCCGTTCCCGTCGTGACGTCGCCGTCGTGCGCGTATCAAATATATCCCGACGTCACCGTCTTTCATTTCGGGGTTCGCATTATTCTCCTCGAATAATCTCACAATTTAATGTCCTTCTCGAGAAACAGCCATCAGCGAACAGTGCTACAGTTGCGTACTATTCTTTCACACTTGTGACGATGAAGACGCTTGGCTTTTCTATTCGTGTGCCTGTGAGATTGTGTGAGCTCGACGCGCTCGAAATTTGCCGAACACTGCCGGCAATTTCTGCGAAATTTCACCGTCGCAGATCGAGCGGACGGGCGCGATTTCGGCCGTCTGCCAAACGGACAATCATTGCCTCGCAGAGCGAGACGCTGGGACGGTAGCGCGCGAGTTGCACGTATCTGACATCCGAAGTCAACGACCCTCGCGCGCTCGCGCTGCAACGTCCGCTTTTGCGAAGCGCGTGCGTGCAATTGCTCCGCGTTTCTACAATTCCGCCGCACATTCGACGGCATCCGTCTTTCGCCGCCTCTAGACGGCACACTACGATGCGCAGGCCGGGATGCGAGGCGATTTCACTGATTCCGAGACGCGCGCGCGCATTCGACGAGAAACGCTCGCGATTTGCGTTTCGCACGCGATTCGCGCGGCAACGTGCTCTTATGCAACCCGCAAATCGTCCCGATGAGCATCTCGCCGCTTCGCATCGCTGAGATCTTAGGGAGCGACAATGCGGAGGAAAGGCGAGAGAGGAACGGGGGGAAGAGCGAGGACGGTTTCAGCCGAGGCTCGAGTGTTTTGCTCCTCAACGGTCTCTATTGGCTTTTCACGCTTGGAGATCTCTTCCACGAGCTGCACATTAGAGGTCGTCGATGATCAGCTGGATTTCTCGCAAGAGCTCCGCTGCTGAATGAAAGATGCTGAAAGAATATTCAAGAGACATCGAAAGATGACTCGAACAGGCACAGTTGCCGGTGCATTTCACGCGCGCAATTATCGTCTCTAGGACGCTCGTCGTCCAGCGAAAGTGAGACGTTCGGTATGAAGCTCACGGAATCATGCGGTTCCTGAAAGAAAGCTCGCTCGTCAGTCGAGACTGCAGCCGGCGCAGCCATACGTGCGTGCGTGCGTCAGCTTCTCCGCGAGCGGAAACGCGAGTCGCGGCGGCGAAGAACAAGCGAGGAATGGCGGCGACCGTTTGCGCAAGAAGCAGCCAGGTGAAATTCGTCGGGTCGCTGAGCGTTTTGCTTCCCTCGGACACCAATTTCGGATTGGCACACACAACGTCGGCAACGTGCATCCGCATAGCCGATGACTTCCTAGACGATTGCGCGACCGCCGTGCCGCCGCCGCCGCCGCAGGATGTGAGTCGCTTGCATTATCGCTTCCGTTACGCAGCTCGCGGTGAGTTTTACTTTGCGTCGCTCTCGCGCCACCCCCGCGCTTCCTCGCGCTGCGCTCGGGCCGAAACTATTACCACCACTACTAAAGCAGCGCCGGTTGTATCGCTGACAGCCGCGTGCACGAACGTAAATGACAGGGTGGCGGTAATGGCAGGTTGCACGGCAGACGCGTGTGTCTTTCTGCGTTTATTTCTGTCCGCGTGCCCACTGAAACGTGACGGGGCGGAAGGGCGTAGTATAATCAGGGCCCGGCTTCGGGCACTTTTCTACGTGTCTCCGGGCAAGGTTGAGGCGTATATCGCGCGCGCGAGCCGTTACACGAGGCTCGCCGCGACGGCGGAAAGCGGACGGTCTTCTCAAAATACCGTGTCGGGATCTCGGGGACGATGTCGTGGAGAACGCCGAGGCGTCGCGTCGGCGAGCTCGGAGACGTCAGAAACGGAGAACGCGAAAGATCGCGGAGATGAAAGAAGACTGCGGGACGTTATTTGCCGAATTCCACAAGAAGGCGCTTCGCCTTAAGTTTTCACCTCAAGGCGGAGCTGTCATTCGCGCGTGAATTTTTCTCAAATATTGAATGTGTGTACACGATCGGCTTGTACATGACAGACGTGGCAATGAGCGTGCATACCCGAAGCAAACCCGTTTCACCTTTTCGTCGCCGAGGGGAAGTGAGGCGAAGGTGAGGCAAAAGCAAACGAAGCGCCTGTGCCGGTTTCCTGTACGCTCGCTCGCGTTGTGCAAGGGACGATGCGCTCTCGGGGGTTGCGCAAGCGGCGGGGCCCTATTCTGCGCGCGAGGGTAATGCAAAACGGCCGCCGAGCGTTGCGAGTCGAGCGTTTTGCTCAGGAAGATGATGAGACTCGCCGGCCATTGAAATCATCAGCTCGAAAACGGCAACGGCGATTCGATGAGGCAACGTCCCGCCTTCATCGCGCGCATCGCCGATTCGCCCGGTGCGTGATGATGCCGCCGTCGACGACGATGATGAAGACGATAACGACGACGACGACGACGACGACGACGACGATGATAATGATGACGACGCGGAGTTGCGTGCCTGCGAAATCGCGAAACGGCCGGGAGGATTGAAAAGCACGCTCGTCTTAGCGCCTGCTCGGAGCGACGCGCTCGGCGATGGCCGACCGGCCGGCCGGCAAACGCGTTGCATTATTCGCGCGGCAATTAGTCATGAGAGATTGAGCCGCGCAGATAGCCGAGAGCGCGGTCTTTGTGAGGAGCTAACAGCTTTCGCGCCGCGGCGAGAATCGCGCGAGCACGAGCACCGGTATTTAAGGCAATTTCGCAGCGTGAAATGGACGCGCACGATCGGACGGAGCGCGCTCGTTGCGCGAAAACGGCACGTATGATTAGCGGCCATGGGGAGAGATTCCCGTGAGCCTCGCGATGGTTAAAAGAGGACCCTTTTTCACTGCGGATTCTTGGAAAGCACTGCAGCGGGGGAGAGAAAATCACACAGAACGGGGAGGGGGGGAATTAATTCGTATTATAATTCCTCCGTGATCACGGGCGAATCGACGGCACGCGATGGCCTGGCGTTAGAAAGAGAAACGCGAGCGATCCGCACGTTAATTAGCACGTCGTTCTCGATAGCCGTCGTCGCCGTACCGAGGGCAAAAGTGAAGCGTTTCCCACGTAGTAGAAACGGCACCTCCCCGACGCGTCGCGCGGCGCTTCGGCCGCGTTAACACTCGAGCAGGAGCCGCGATGTAAATCGTTACTCGGCCGACGACCGAAAACATGCGAACGATGCAAATCTCGCGGATTTCACCCGCGTAAATATTGAGTTAGCTTTATTCACCGAGATATTATATTTATATTTATGCGTATGCGGCACCCATATTTTTTTCTCCTAATGACACAAATTTCTCTCTTACGTGTCATTCTAAGTGTATCTGGAAGATATATAGTTCCCACAAGGTGGCCTTTCGATCATTCATATTTTTCAACATCGATCTCTTTGATTTATATTATCGCGTGCGTTAGACGTCGCCGCCGCTGCCTATCGCATCGCGTCTTCCATATCAGATACATTCCGACGCAAATAAATTTATCTGCTTATCGATACACGTGTTGTTAATTGCGCGGAGCTTAATTCCCCATAACGATGTCAGAATAATAAACGACGCATCGTGTTGCAGGATCTAATAGCGCCGGATGCGGTTATCCGGGTGCACCGGCGCACAGCAGCGTGCGCTTTACCGGCACGGACGTCGAAGACGTGTTGGACGAGGAGGACGCTCTCCTTAAGGACATCATGTTACCGGAGGGCACCGTGGCTACGTACTCCTGTGAACGAGGATTCGAGCTCCTGGGACCCGCGAGAAGACAATGCCAATCCGACGGCATGTGGGCGCCGGAAGGCGTGCCCTTCTGCGGTAAGTGAGCATCTTTCAACGAGTGTCGCGCTAACGATCTCGAACGAGTGTGATAGCGAGCCTATCATCCCGTATTATTTATACCAGCGACGTTGCAGATTCAGCGATTCTCGGCGAGTTTTTCTCGAAAACGGACGTTCGGCGATAAAATCTTAGTGAAAATGTTAAACCCCACCGGCGAGCTATTAATTCCCATTATTAAATATTCAATATAAAACATATCAAACATATAAAATATTTAATTAAATATTTAATATTAAACAGTATTAAATATTTAATAGTAATATTTATTATTAAATATTTTCACAATTAATTCTTAAATGAAGGCTCTCTCCAAAGTCAAACGGAGAAGGAAGTTTAAATCTCTTTTTTGCTTGTTAAAAGCTTATTTCTCCCAAGAAGCTTGAAAATTGTCTCTAAAATTTATAAATACAAACCTACACAGTGGATTAGTCCGAATAGAATAGGTTGGCGGGTAGAGACATCCTTAACGATAGACTACCGTAACGACATGCAAGGCGGATGGCCGAGAGAGCGCTCCGATGGCGCTTCGGGTGATTCGACGCGGTTTCGGGAAGGCAAGTGACCCGATTCCACGTGTCCTTGACCGAGCGGGCCCGACGACGACGGTGGCACAAGAAATGCCATGCCTTGGCGCAGCCAGTGGGGGCAGTGCACCGTTAACTCTGAACCTGTTACCGTCTAAGAACGCCCCGCGGCCTTCCCAACTTCGCGCGCATTCCTCGCACCGGCTTTTGCCGGGCTGTCCGTTGTCCTTGGGCCGGGTCGGGCGAATCTGCTCGTTCTCCAAACGACACCTCTTACCACGTCCTCGCGACGAGGTTCTCGTCGTACGTGACTTCCGCTCCGGGTTGCCGCGCGACCGGCTTACATATCGACCGTCGTCTCGTCTTCGTTGTCTATGACGGATGTTCCAGCGGGGAGACGATTAATCAAACGAAAGGATCAATTTATTTGAGCGCGAGGATACCTACCAGTCCCACCGTCGAGGATGCTGAGGTGAAACCGACCCGACGGGCCCGAGATGGCTCGACCGTGCTCATTAGTTAGTCGTTTACTTGGCGGCCGAACTCTCTCACATGCTTTCTTGTGTGTACGCGCGTATGCTAATATCTCCGTGCTTCTCGGTGGCGAGAAATGGCCGACCGATAATGACTGCCTGATATTCATGCATACAAGCCGACGGGACTGTATTTATCATGTGGAATGCGTTTTCTAGCCTCGCTTAGTCGGTCTTCTCAAGAACGAGGTGACCGATTCTCCTTGCTTTACTTCTCGAATAAACGGAGTGCGCGAGCGAAATGCTCGTCACGTCGAGTGTTTCAGGCGTTTGCGTTTGCGACGTGTCGAAAGTATAATGTCTGTCGACAAAAGAGTTTGAGAAAATTGCGCGAAAATCTCTTCATCTGCGTACGTTGGCTCGTTTCTCTGTGAATTCTTGCGTGTGGAAGCTCCATCTCGAGCGCGTTTACGTTTCCGATACGGCGACATTCAGCTCAATTGCCGCGCGAACGGTCTGCATAAGCAATCATCTCTTCGTCTTCGCCCGGAGCTCGAATTAGAGCCGAGCAAAGAACGAATCGGATCGCAAATCGACCCGGTTTCCAGCTCTAGATCGGAAAATCGCGCGATTCTTCGACGAGCGGACTAAAATTTCTCGCGCTCGCCGCCGCAGACGCGCGTGATTTCTTCTCCAGCGCGATTAGACTATCTCGCGCGTATTCTCGTGCGAAACGTATCGAAGCGCAAGAAAGAGCACGACGAAAAAGAGAGAATCGCTCGCGACGCGGTGAGTCTCACGGCCACGCTTCGCGGCTTCTCGACGACAGGCCGCCGTCGCCGCCGAACTGGTCCAGGACCGCGAGAAGTGGTGCCGTGACGTGGGCGGAAGTGGGTCGCGACGTGGATGACGAGTGCGCGAACACGCGCGCGAAACGCGAGCAGGAAAGAGCAGGAAGATGCGTTCATTAGGTGCTCCGTCACCGAGTCCGCTGACGGTGGCGAGTGAGGAACGTAACACCGAAAGAAATCATGATAAATGATCTATTTAGAAGGAATGAGCGCTCGCGAGAGTGAGAAAAAAGAAAGAGAGAGAGAGAGTCATCAGAGAAGCGGCGTTTCACAAGATAAACGCGGCGAAGAGCCGCGATTGCGGAATCTCGCGAATTAACGCCCATCCAGCCCACACGCCGGCTTAACTTAATTTCGTCAAATTGCAGCGCGCTTCATCCACGCGCACTTTATGTACCTTACGGATTCTTCGTGTAATCCTTTTTTCTCAGGCTCAACCAAGGGTAGATGTTATCGGGGACATTGTCGTTTTAATGCTGTAACATTCTCATCCGCTCGTGTGAGCGAAGCTTGGCACGCCGGCAAGTCGCGTTTGTACGCAAAAATAATTAAATTCTTACGTCAGCCTCTCTAACGTCCCACTTCGGCAAACGAGGAATGCGCGAGGGGATCTCACGCCGTCCTGGCGATTAACTCGCGCGCGCGCGCGCGAATCATGTTCCCCGATCTCCAGTAATAATCAACTTCTTGATCGACCGTAAAAATACGACGTCTCCGTGCGAGTTTCTTGCGACGCGGCCAATGTGGCCGCGCGAATGCCGTCACACGCGAATTACGTCTAAGAAAATGATACGCCAGATATACGCCACTACCCGAAGGAGATAGTAGTCAGTCGAATCGAAACACAGCCGACGCCGTCGATCAGCGGTGCAGCAAGGTAAACGCGCTTTTTGTACACGTGTAACGTAGCATGAACGTAACCCAGACACGTTCGGACAACCCGGGTCTCGACAACGGCCGTTGTTGCAGGATTATGGGTCACGGGGTCTCGACCGATTAGCGTAGAGGGACGGGCGAAGAGCGAATAAAAAATTGCCTCGGCCGTCGGAAGACGGAACCACGCGTCTCCGAAATTATTTTCGAATTTCACGGTCTGCATGTCAAAATCGCTAACGACTTTCCTAACCCGGATATTTTCGGGAACACGGTTCCGCGTCTGCGTGATGCTACTACCAATTACCCCGCGGTAGTTTCCGAGTTTCCAGTAAATTCGCAGGCACTGAGCGGCAGTCATCGTTCTGTTAAATTCACTTGTTTTGCTAAATTTCCTCCGTGGCTAGTCAGTCCAAGGTAGAAAGTCTCAAGCTATCTTCAGTAATACCATCCTGTAACCGATTACATATATTTTGCGTGAGTTGCAAGCGAGCAATTATCTCGGTTGTTAAGATAGCATCCTTTGATAGCGCTTTGAGATATTCCTAGACATCCAATTATCTTATCTATTTTTATATCTTTATGTCCATTAATATCGTTGATGGCGATGTATGATCATTATTCGTAGCGATGTACTTTCGTGATTTATAGAGCGTTACTATCGGAACATATATTTATATATATATATATATATATATTACATATATATTTTACAATGACAAATTATTCTTCTGGGGCAAATCGTAACACGACGAGCTGGCACTTTTTTTTTATCACAGCGATTGGGAAAGTAAGAAATTTTTACGGAGAAAATAGGCGCGATAATGTTTTCAATGGAAATCTGGAAGTTGCAGCACCTAGAAGGGTCGAAGAATTTCCCCCTGGACTCGTCTAGTACGTATTAGACGAGTGTTGGCGGCAACGCGAGCGGCGATGGTAATTTAGTGGAGCGAAATACCGCGCATTCCTGCGGTAATTTTTGCACTTGCTTCTCGAGGCGCGCGGCAGGAAGTACCGTACAATTTAATGACATCGTAATGGTAACATTTCTTGCGCAGAGGGAGGAAAGGTGATCGTCGCGCATTCGCGACCGCGAGTCTTCGTTGTCATTTTGGCGATTGCGAGTGCGAGTGATGTTTGCGCGAAATTGCTCAACTTGCCCGCCCAAGACGGTCGCAGCAGTTTCTCGTGATCCGCCGACCGCGAGGAAAGCTTGCCACTTGTGCACCTGTGCGTGAACTTGACTCTTCGAACGCGTGTACCTGTTCGTCTCTCACCTCAAGTGGGAACGCGATCGTAATTCTCTAGAAAATTCATTCGCGAGCGATCTTGACTTCTGATTGATGATGTCACGACGATGTAATAAGAGGACCTTCGAAAGTCGCGTGTCTGTACCTTCGTCTCTCAGACTCTCGGACGCGCTGAATTCGGCCTGCTGAAAATAAACGCAAAGTTCACGGAACTCGCGAATAAGCGAGCAAACTTCCATTAGTATAGGAAGCCCGATGTTTAAAATAAATAAAAAAAAGAAACTTGAAAAATTCCTCTTACGTATGTTATGTCAATCTGTGTGAAAAAAACGCAAGAGAGCGCTCAACTTTAGTTACTCATCTCCTCTTTTCTTCCGATCTTGCATAATGTTTGATACATTCGATGTGTCAAGTCGTTTATGATATTTTGTTATTTACGTACGACTCGACAAGTTCTTTTTCAGCTTTAATTAAGTGACTTCTCTTGGTTCCTGTTATGTAAAGGCTGCTCGTTTCACTTCTTTGACTTTCTTTGGCCAGTTTTAATTGCATATTATTATCATCTCTTTCACTTCCTCCGACAGAAATTAATTATTCTATCGAGATAACATTCGCAGGCAGGCGAATCCTGCGTAGTTTAACGCGTTTTACATGGGGATCGCCGCTCAGACTAACGAGATTAGCTGCCACATTGGTTGTGCTCCAGACGACATGGTAAAACTTCACGCTAGACATGAAGTCGACGCTCGCCCATGAATCGTTTCCTGTTTTTCGATTTTAAGGACCCATGAACGACGGTACTTCTCTCTCTCTCTCTCTCTCTCTCTCTCTCTCTCTCTCTCTCTCTCTCTCTCTCTCTCTCTGTCTCTCTCTCTCTCTCTCTCTCTCTCTCTCTCTCTCTCTCTCTCTCTTGCGAAAGTAAGGACGTACTTTCTTCTCCGAACAGAGAACGGAACTTCCTGATCGTGCGATGGATCGTGCCGCGTATAGTCCGTTAATTACAAGTTTCACGGGATCATCTATTATTATCGCACTAAATACGAGTTCGATGAACTCGGCGATTTTGTAGGATATGAATCCCGTCCCTCGTTTCCTCCATCGTTCGTATCGTCAGCATTCCCGTAGTAATTGGATGATAAATACACGCACACGGATAAATGAGCGATTGGTATGCCAGCGTGATGTTATTTCGTTCCAATGATTAAACTGAAAAAAATTGCACATGCTCGAAGCCGCGCGATAAAAAATAATGTAGTCGTGCGAGAATGAGGCGAGTAACACCGTAATTGATTTTAGAATGTCCCCCATCACTATACATCATTCGGTCGAAGTAAAAATATTATAAGCAATAAAAAAGAAGTAACTTCCATTTTCGCTTCTTCACATATTTATTTCGACATATTTTCATCCTACTATTTTTCTACACGATCTCACGATTATTAATAACAATCAACAGTGACTCCCGCGCGTTCCGGCCTAGTGACTGATTTTTATCTTCTCGGGAAAAAGTAGGTACTTCTCATCTTCATCGGAAATTATTTATAGCTTGGCCCACAATAATTCAATCTCGAAGCGGAACGCCCGCGCGTCTATCGCGATACAATTACGATCACCGCGCCGGAAGCATTCGTGTAATCGAACCGTGCTCCATATATCTCGTTACGCGTATCGACGGGAGCGATAGGTATCGCGCGAAGATGCTCTCGCACATTTGCGTGTGCGAGAAGTAACTGTAAATTATGAGGTAAGCACGGCATCCGTGCGTTTCTCTTGTGGGAACATACGTGCGCGGCATACGTGGACGTTCACGGGGGCGCTAGCCAGTATGTAGGTTTAGGTCGAGAATGCATCGATTATGGTTTTGTGTGTCGAACCCACGCCTAGTCGCCGATGGAATGTCGATGGTCCCGTCATCAAATAATCGCGCGGACGTCAATGGCCTCTTGACGAACACGCGCGCGTCCGCATTGGCAAGCGCGAGACCGCGAGGCAGGCGACAAGTGACAAGCAGAAAGGAATCAACTGCGCTGAGGAGGACGAAACGAGAAAACGTCTCTTCGGGTCACAATAATTCCCCGACCGTGAAAGAGCCTCGCGAGACTGAACGCGCTTTCGAAGTTCAAGAGCAGTCGAAGTTGAGCGCTGAACTCGATCTGCAGGACACGATCCTCGAGTAGCAAGCCCGTCGGCTCCTCCTCGCCAAGCCGAAATCGACTGCGCAACCGATTGTTCTCCGTCTCTTCGACGAGTTTTCCTCGACTTCCTCGCTTCCACAGGAGCGGAAGGAAAAAGGGAAGGAGAGAGATGCGAAGTGCAATTAGACCCGCGGATCAACCTTACCGAATAAACCTGACCGCGCTATTTCCCAACGCGTTTATATCGGGCTATCTCGAGCCGCGTGCGGCCGGCCGGCCGGCCGGCGAATCCTTTGTTCGCTCTTCCTGCATGCGATGTGCGCTCTTGTCTGTGCATCTCTCTTGTCTCGATTGTGCTCGGCCGCGAGATTCCGGCGGCGAGATACTTCAGGGCCGTGGTAACAGATTGCGCGCAGAAATTATGCCGAGATATCTCGGCGGCGCGGCGCGGGCTCGCAAAATGCTCACCGGCAGCAACACTCGCCGTTTGACGGGATTACGATTCTTCTTACTCGATTACGGGGAATACGCTGCATATTTATGAGCAGCCCGCCGAGACATTGTTCCCGGCGATGATTCGCGCGCTTTCAACATGAATAGGCGATACGTATCTGCCGCTGATGATTAAATCGCGCGCCGTGCATCCGCCTCGCACATTTGTGTAATTCATCGTCAGGTGGCGCGTGTCAAGATCACTTATCGAGTGACATTTATGGCGTTTTCTACCTTTCAACGGCTTCGCCGATCACAATCGACGTCTCGGACGTAACGCGGCAAGGTCGCTGGACGATCTGGCGAATATAGGTCGAGCGCGTCAGAGTATAACCGCTCAAGGACACGGCTGATCGCGCTGATGGCGTCTTGCCCAAGTCCTAAGACGATCCGCGTGTCCGATCGAATTGGCATCGATTAGACGCAATTAAGGCGACACGGGAGCGAGCGAGACGCCAATCTCTCTCGACGTAGCCGCGATCGGCACGGCACGACGCGCGATCGCCCCGCATCGCACACGCGTTAACGCCGATAAAATTCTCACGTTACGGTACAGTAAAACTACCGCAAGGCCGCCGACTTGTTCGCGAATTGCACGGCACTTGCTGCACAAAACTCAACTTGACGACCACGGCCAAGTGTTGCGCCCGATGGCTGCCGTCTCCGATGTGCGTACGGCCGTACGGCTATTCACCCGGCGCGACGACGGCGACGGCGACGGCGACGGCGACGGCTCGCGGTCGACCTTCTTTTTATCGGACGAATATGGACGAGGAGGTGGATACCCCGCGATTTTCTCACGCGCGGGAAATTATCGCCGCGTCACCGCGGTATGCGTGCTAATCGTGAAAAGCGAGAAAAACGCGGCAAGATTGCGCGAGTATAATTACCTGTTACGTCCTCCTCCGCGTGTCTTCTGATATTCTGTAATGCGATGTCATATTTGTCTGCCGCCGGAGCGTGGCAGTGGTTTTACGGGGGGGACTCCCACTTTAATCGACTCGGTAATTACCGCCGAGCGATAGTTAGCGAATAGCTTCGCTGGCGAGAGAGACATGTATGAGACACTTGCGCTGTCGGTCATACACCGCGAGCGAGAGAGATGTCGGTTTCGCGCAGCGAAGCTCTCGTCGATCGAAATGTGACAACACGCGTTCACAATATGGGAAATTCCTCCGCGTGTTTCTCTCACGAGCAAAAAGTATCAGCGATCATCGCTGACGCACGGCAATTGAACATTTCCACCTTTTACGTGTACATTGCTCGCTCGGACGGCTCTCGGAGCGCCTCTCTGAAGCTCTCCAGCAGCAGCGGCAGCGGTGTCCCGCGCTCGGGCATTTTTTGCCCTCAGCTCATAATGAGCGAAACGCTCATCGTACATCACGTTATTTAATCGCACGGTTCTTGCTCTCTACGGTAATTTCCCTCCGCACGTGCAGGCGCACTCGCAGAAGGAGAGAGAGAGAGAGAGAGAGAGAGAGAGAGAAAAAACAGAGAGAACCGATTACGCGGCGTAAGTACCCTCGGAAGACAGTCGATTAGCGAGCATGACGCGATCGAATGTATCAAACTCTCCTGTCCCGCAGTTCTCAACGTGGCCGGCGGCAAGGCGCCGATGCAGTTGAGCAACTTGGACAACGGACTTCCGCAGCGCGCGGTCGACGGAAGTAGCAGTCAGATTTACGCGCCGCAGACGTGCACCCTGACGAAGCCCGATCCCAAACCGTGGTGGTACGTGAACCTGCTGGAGCCGTACATGGTGCAGCTGGTGCGTCTGGACTTCGGCAAGCCGTGCTGCGGTAAGTGTTATACCGTAGTGCATCTATCTGTCAGCGCTTCAGGCCGGCTGTGAGAATTCACCGTTGCGCGGCCGATGGCGCATGAGCGGCCGCGCCGTGTTCTCCTATGAGCGGCGTATACGACGATTGAGCGCGCTCGTCTGGCGCGCGAGCCTCGTCGACAGATTGATTTGACGAATAAACAGCGATGATTACATCGACATTCGCGTCGAGCGCGGAATACGGAGGCTCGTCTTTGTCCGACGAATCCGGAAGCCGTCAGTTTCGCAAATCGATGAAAAGCGAAGTCTCTCTCGCGCGGAAGTGCCACGCGCGCGCGGAACGCCGTTGAAATTGAAATCACCATGAGCGGAGTCGAGTACGAATTCCCGATCCGAGGTCGTTTTATCTCATCGTTGAAGAAGCGGCTTTCGATTTTCCCGTCGCGACGACATCGTCGGGGTTTAAAGTCGAGGCGCGAAGACATTCGACATTCGGGATCTGTCGGGGAAACCTGAAGCGTTTTTCACACGTCAGCCATACGTGACGCGAACTGTCGTATTTAGCGGCGCATGCCCACGATTCCGCGCGGTTGTAACGATCGACGTGCGACGAGATTAAAGGGCGGAATAAGGCTTCGACATCCGGGAAGACCGGCGACGACGCGCCGCACGAACCGATGACTGAGGAGAGGTGGCGCGTGCCGCGGGAAATTGATATTTGCACTGCGGCGCGTTTAGCCGACGATCCGCTCTGTTTCAAATTACAGCTCCGTGCAAAACCGCCGTGCGAAACGTTTCGCGGCGCGGCGCGGCGTTAAGAGCGCGACCGAGCGCGTGGGCAAGGAGAAGCGCGAGAAAAACGGCCGTAAGAAAGAGCGCGCGATGACCGCGCGATAATTGGACGCTCGCCGTTTGCGCGCTGATTTTACGAGCTCGTCAAGTCGCGCGCTGTCCAGTCGCCGCGATCGTCGGAAACGAACGGCGCGGTCGGAGATTCGCTCCATCGCGCGATTCGAATCTGCGAGGCGCACTTCGCGCCGCGAGACGCTCCGTCTCGCTATGAATCCTAACGCGAGGCTCTTATTGTCGAGATAGAATTCGCGCGATACGCGCGTCAACGCCCCGCACGTGCGCGCGCGCGCGCGTCCGGCACTTTCGCGTTTCGATGGCGCGTTTTCTCGACTTTCTATCGATAAATAAGCATCACCGGCAATCGCCGGCGAAATGGACTCGCGATCGCGTTGCAACTGCAGAGCACGGTCGCTAAACAAACGTGACATTAGACGCGCGTGTGCTCCGCTGAGCGCGTATATCACAGTGATTCAGACATGGGCTGTGTGAGTGTGTGTGTGTGTGTAATTTCGCCTATACTTCGAATCTCCACTCTCGCAGGAGACTTTCCTTCGCTTCTTTGCTCTTCCTTACATTTTCGCGATTGTCTCTCCCCGACGGACGCAGCTTGCCTCTCCCCGACGCCACGCCGCGCCGGCGACCGAATCGACGCGAAAACGAAATGCGAATGTCGGCATAGTTTCGCGGCTGTTCGCGCGGTGGTTTTCGCGTTCGCCGACGACCGCGACGCGCCGACGTGGTCGAGGGGACTTGGATGCCCTTCGGCGAGCATCCGGCGATCTGAAAAATCACGGTCGTGTCACGATCGATCGGCCGGCGGCGCTTTCGAGAGTTTACAGCGGAGCGCTCGGGAATCTCGTCCAACGGAGGCGGACCGCGAGCCTCGTTCGAGCGAGCCGTAAAATCCCGGCATAAAATTCACGCTTCCTGCCACTTCGGTCCGGTCGAACACGCCGTTCGCATGCGAGATCATTTAGAAACTCCCGCGCGACGAGAGTGAGAGTCCTTCCACTTTCGATTGTTAGAAAACCGCGTCCCACGGTGCGCGCTGCAAGCGACGTGCAATTTTTCCAACGACGTTCGCTCGAATCGCGAACAAATGTCTCCCTCTCTCTTCCTCCCGATCGCCAGCTGGAAAGTCAGCGGATATTCGACTGCGGAACTACGAGTATCGACTTTCGCGAGCCCTTCCAAACGCGTGACGAAGGTCGACAGAGGACAGCTGGACTCACGACTGCGAGCGTTATAATCAATTTTTTCCTGCGGGTAATTCATTTTGCATTGTTTTTATTATTATTGTAGTAATTACGGTTGTACGAAGAGTAACACCTCTTGTGTGCCGAGGAAAAAGGTTATTTTGATGCGCGAGCGCCGCTCTCTCGAGCTGTACTTTCGTCTCTCTTTCCTCGCACTACCACATTAATTAAAAACTACAGCTGAGGAGAAATGCCGGCGCGCTTCTTCAGCTGAAATTAAAGTTATTGAATAATTCTCCCCCGTCGCGCTGATAATTCTCCTCGCTTTAGAAACGAAGCGCGCGCCTCTTTAATGAAAAGATAATCGTCGCATGATTCTTCTCGGCTGGGCTTTCAGCCGCTTCATTTTTACTTTCAAATATGCGACTTTCGACTGCTTTTAAATGCGCGCGCCCGCTCGTAAAGAGGACGAGAGGAGGCGAAGATCGAGAAGAGATCAGCGACCGTTTGCGGAACCATGTTTCCTGCGGCGGTCGCTTGCGCAGGAAGGAGAAGCGGCTTTTCGATCCGATCGCGGCGCCGATAGCGCGCGAAGATCTCGCGCGGAATTAATTGAATCCAAGCGCCTCGGCAACCGCGATCCCATCTCGCCTCGAGATACGGAGGGCCCTCGCGGTGATGCACGAAAAACGCGCGTTATCGTTTCGAAAGTTCATTCGCTCTGTCCATAAAGCCGTAACGAGCGTCTGTCTGGCCGAACCGGCGGAAACTTTCACCGTTAAACGACTGATAATAATGGCATTGTTGGTAGCTGGACGCGCTGTTGCCTCGCGCGAGGCAAGAAGCGAGAGCACGTCTCGTCTGCCCCGGCCGGCGAAAACGCACCTTCCCTCTTCCCTCCTCCTCCGAGTAAAAGAATCTCCGTGCATTTCCGTGCGTTACTTCGCGAGTCGTTGATCCACGGATTAACGCCGAGATCACCGACGACCGACGGACCTGTTTCCGTGAGATCCTCGGAAAACGTGAACAACGCAAAGGGAAGAGAATCGTTCGTTTCTTTCAATTTCACTCACTAAAAGACACAAAGCGCGTCGTCGTAAATCTCTGCGATTTCTCGAACTGCAAGTTCTCGCCTGTTTTGGCAGTTCCAATGTTGACGGAAATCTGCGGGGTTGATTCGGAATCCCGGAGAAATTCAAAGACCCAATCTCGATTCGATATCAACCGATTCGATCGGTTGATCCTCGGCGACTTCCTCGGCGCGATTTCCTCCTCTCCGCAGCATTCCCCGCGCAATCCAGCGGGCATAGTCATAGCACCGGATGAATTATTCAATCGCGATAATCGACGATCTGCCTGGATTGGACAGACACGCGCTGCGCGAGTCGGACCCGCCGCAAGCGCAACGCGCCGGGAACAATGGGCCTCGGCGTAATGCGGCCCATCCTAAGCAGCTGTTTAGTCACGGCTCAGCACCGGCGAGAAACGTGACGATAATTCCTCCGACGATAATCCCCAAGCCACGCACGCGCGCGCGCGTGCGTAATTAAACGGACCGCGTATTCTAATTACGCCGGGCGAAAGAGCGGCTTTCTCACGTCGCGGCTGAGCGGCGAAGGAGAATCGGACCGTTCGATTTCGGCGGCGCGCGCGCGAAAGCGCCGCAATGACTGGGCGCGGTCGGGCGAAATGAGATTAAAGTCCACCCCAGCGTGGTTACGATGACGCGCGATGATGATCCTCGACGTCGAGGCGGGCTTTCTTCCTGTGAGAGAGCGCGATCCGCTGGGCGCTTTACAGGCTTCGACGAGTTTTTTACACGCGGGATTAATGACGTCGTGTTGTGCCGCTTGCAGCGTGCGATGGATTCTACTTGGACCGTGTTTCGCGACGCTCGCTTCCAGCAGAGAAAATGTATAATTCGCGTTACACGAAGTAAGGTAAAGTAAGGGAAGTAAGGGAAGTAAGGTAAATGTTCCGGTAGCTGGACGTTTAAGCGTAGGTCGTTGCAAGAAATACAATATATAATATTAAGAATAGTTTTGATATAAATATTTACATTTGCTCGAAAACTTGAGATTCCCTTAAGCAGAGAAGAATGTTAATTAAACCAATGTATATATCTATTATTAATTAAATGTTTATTATTCATTACTTTTATTATTATGTATATTATTCATTACTTAACATAAATTATTAATTCATGTTAAGTAATGAAACGCATTAATGTGACCGGTGACCGGTATAGGTTATGGCCCAGTGTTCGGAAATATTTGGAAATAAGTGCAAATTAGAAAAAACCTCAATTAGAAAATTAGTATGCGCTAACGGGAAATAATATAAATATAGATGCTATCTCTTAATAAATTTATTAACGATTGACCATTATTTTACCAAACCATAAGTGCATACTTATTTAATTAATTTTTATTTTAATACAAAAGTATCAAGTATTGAGTATATTTTTTTTCCAACTAATTAATATTGGAAGAATATAGGAACCGAGTAGAAAACTCGACACTCTCCTTGCGGAAATAAAAATATTCCACTCGTTGAAGTTTCGACCAGTTTGATTGTTTCCGGTCGCGGCGGCAGAACGGTAACACGTCATTCTTCGTTGAAATTTTCCGCCATGTGACAAATATTGGAGGTTTTTTTTACAATAATTATTACTTTCATTCATCATTGTTAAAATAGATAGTAAATATTTTTTTCAAAGTGAACGGATACTGGGACGTTTATCTCATGAATCTCCGCGCGAAGAGAATTCTGTCGATGCGACCGGAAAAAATAGAGACCGAGTAGAAAACTCGACACTCCCCTCGCGGAAATAAAAATATTCCACCCGTTGAAGTTTCGACCAGTTCGATTGTTTCCGGTCGCGGCGGCAGAACGGTAACACGTGATTCTTCGTCGTCAATTTTCCGCCATGTGTCAATGAAGGCAGTCGCTTCGGACGTTCGACGACTGATTTCACAGGCGCGGCACAATCCTTTCCTCCGATGCCGAAGAGTTTCTCCCTTATCTCACTCGCGCGTTGCATGACCGCTCACTCATTAGACGCGAGAATAGCGGCTTACGCGCGCGCAATAAGAAAGTACGCACCCGTGCGTGTGCACGTAAGCCTCTCCTAAACCGGGCGATTTTACCGAACGTCGTCGTCGACGTGAGGTCGGACGCGCGACGCGACCGACGTCGCGGGGACAAAACGTGGAAAGCATGTAATTGCGGCTTGCAGCTACGTACGGCCGTGTCCCGTCCCGTCTCGTCTCGTTCGCTCGGCTCCGTCACAGCTGGGATACTTTGTGGGTCAGAAGATGTAGCGCTTGCCGGATTGCCGGAGATGATTTTATCTGTCCAGATACTACGCTCGCAATCGGCCAGTGCGCGCGCGGGAACGCGCCTTGTACCCTCTAAACTAAACCGCAAGTGAAAGCCCGTCGCCGGCCGCGGTCCTCGATTTACGTTAACCCGAGTACGTCAACGGAGCGCGGCTCGAGACCTAATTAGACCGGATGACTTTGTTAAGTGCGGACGATATCATTGCGATATCGACGCGGTATCTACTGCGGGTTTCTACGCGTAGATTTGTTTGTGTGTCTTTCGCGCGGAGACCCAGAGAGGAGGGAGGAGGCGCGTATCAATAAAAACCGACGCGATTTGCCGCGGCCGTCGTCGCGTATTTAATCCCTTCGCGGCGGTCTTGTTAGTAGAAAGTCAACTCGCGCGAAATTTGATCCGCTCAAATTATCATGTCAAGACGGACGCACGCGTCGTCGGCGCTTTTATTGCCCAGACGTGTGATTATCGCGCACTTTATGATGAGGTGACGCGGAAGAGAACGCGCGATAAGCGCGAGATAAGTCGAATTAAGCTCATGAAGCTGCTGAATAAAATGATCGGTCGGCCGACGACGCGATTCTTTCCCGGGAGGAATCTGCGGCACGAATGCGACGGCGAATGTGAAACGAAAACCGCGCGTTCGCGTACGCACTCACGTACGCTGCATACAACGAGCCGTTCCTGTACCGTTTGAAAGTCATCGTTCTGTCCAAATGGCAGTCTCTTAATTTGTATTTCAACGGACTATCGGGGCCGTGCGCGTGCAATTATCGCGACTCATTGACACAGTTGGAAGCAACGACGCCGGCCGGTAACGCCGTAAATGCATACCGTTAATTGCCCGCACTTGGTCGCGAGCACGCGGTCTCCCCGGCGATTCGCAACGGTCGTCGCGCGATCGTGAAAAATTCGCCGATTTTTCTTCGCTGAGATTACGCTCAGCCGACTCGCCCCGGATCGTAAAGCGCTCCGATAATTGTTCGTATACTCGAGCGAGGCGAGTATATTACAGCCAACGAATGCCAGAGTACGAATTTTAACGGACCAACGTCCATGCAATTACCGTGTATTATTATTATTATTATTATTATTATCATTATTATTATTATTATTATTATTATCGTTTTATTATATCAGTATTATTATTATAGTAACATTATTAGTTTCTAATTATTATTATTGAGTACCTCGGATTGACCGATGAATAATCGCTCAAACGACCCGCAGGTGTTGGCATCCCCGGCACCATTGTCGTTCGAGTCGGCAACAATCGGCCGGACTTAGGAACGAATCCCGTCTGCAACCGCTTCACCGGGTCATTGGAAGAAGGACAGCCGCTTTTCTTACCTTGCAATCCACCGATGCCCGGAGCCTTCGTCTCCGTGCACCTGGAGGCCATGTCGCCCTCCGAAATCCCGGTGCAGCTCTCCCTGTGCGAGGCATTCGTCTATACCGATCAGGTACGACGATTTAGCAACTAACGCGAAACGTTACGAAACGCTCATCCCGGGGCAGAGAGAGAGAGAGAGAGAGAGAGAGAGAGAGAGAGAGAGAGAGAGAGAGAGAGAGAGAGAGAGAGAGAGAGAGGGGAAACGGAGACGATATCGCGCGCTCGTCTCTTATCACTCGTGACTGATCCCACGAAAAAATGAACACAGGCACTGCCGATCGAGAGGTGTCCTCAATTCCGGGACCAACCGCCGGGGTCGACGGCGACCTACAACGGAAAGTGCTACATATTCTACAATCGCCAGCTGATGTTCAGAGAGGCGTTGTCCTTCTGCCACAATCGCGGCGGTACTCTCGTGGACGAGAGCAACCCCGCCCTGCAGGGTTTCATCTCGTGGGAGTTGTGGAGACGACACAGGTAACATTCGAAAAGTGCAACGCAACTTCGAACTGTTCAAACAAATCGACATGAAGAAGAAAAATTCCCTCGTTGCCGCAGGAGCGACACGTCCAGCCAGTATTGGATGGGCGCGGTTAGAGACCAGAAGGATCGGACGTTGTGGAGGTGGACCGAAAGCGGCGAAGTCGTGTCCGTCTCGTTCTGGGACCTGCAGCAGGGCCTGGTGGAGGACTGCGCCCGATATGACGGCGGCAGAGGCTGGCTTTGGTCCGATGTACCTTGCACAGCCCGGCACAGCTTCATTTGCCAACATCGTGAGTATCATCCAGGCTCGCGCGATGCTTTTAATATGTTGCTTATTATCGCACGCTGACGTCCACCGATTATTTCAATTTACTGTTTCGATGCTCAACTCTCTAGTTCGAGCCACCAAACGTACGTTAACACGTTGTGTGTCAACAGCCGTTCTAACAATGACGGTTTTACTCTTGCAGAGCCTCGAGCTTGCGGCAGACCTGAGCAGCCGCCGAACTCCACGATGACTGTGATCAACACAGTCCAGGCATCCAGGCGCTCCGCTGGCGCGTACGAAGTCGGTGCGACGGTGGAGTACAGCTGCAACGCGGGCAGCCTTCTTATCGGGCCGCTGAACCGTACCTGTCTCGACACTGGTTTCTACAACGACTTCCCACCGGTGTGCAGAAGTAAGGGACAGTCGTTGAGAACGAGTTCGCGAATGTGAATTCGTCGCTACGTAACGTTCTTCTCGTTTTCAGACATCGAGTGCGGCTATCCAGCGAGCATAAAACACGGTGGCTACACACTTATCAACAACACCGTCAGTTTCCTCAGTCAAGTGCTCTATTCCTGCGACGAGGGATACGAGATGACCGGTAAGTAGTGTAACGGTCAATTGCAACTCCGCATTCGTGATCACTCGCAAGGCCTTCAGAATTCAGTTTTAAGACAGCCGCAGGAGCGGAGAGTACTTCGATTCTTTATTCGACGCCAGCCTTTTTCTAACAACAGCTTCATTGCAGTTTGAAATCATTCGATTAGTAAATTCGATCAACCTCAGAGGCTAGAAAAATATGATTAAAAAAATGTCTGATCCGCGATTGCAGGACGCGCCCGATTAATTTGCGACTCCGACGAACGCTGGAACGGACCACCACCGCGATGCGAGCCGATACTTTGCGATCCACCGGCTATGGTCGCGCACAGCCAAAATGACGTGCAGACGATCGACGAGGACGGGAGGAGGATCTCGATAGGGAACAGTACCAATCAAGGTGTGCTGGCCGGTAACATCGTCGTTTACACGTGTGACGAGGGTTACCGGCTCGTCGGTTTCCGGCAGTTGCTCTGCTTGACTACTGGACTGTACGATCACGTCGCACCCACGTGCGTAGGTATGTAATTTTATAATAAATAAAGATGAAGAGAAGATGCTCGTTGTTATATTTTTAATATTCTCTGTTCTCCAAATATCCACTTATACACTCGGAGGAACTCTTCACTCTTAACTCTTCATTTCAGAAGAGCCACGGACAACCGTGACTGTTCCCTCTCGGGCGACGTTACGTCCGTTGAGCCCGAAGGTCCGGCCGTACTTGACACCGCGAATCAGGACGACGACGAGCGCATCCACGGTCATCACTACCAGCACGACCTTGCCACCCAGGAACATACCGAACACGGCGGAATTACCGGCCACAGTGAGGGAGACCGTATCGAAGAGGCCGAGCGTCGGGCTGAACAAACCCGCACCATCTCCGTCAACGGTGCTCAACGACGCCGGCAGTGATCACCCGCAGGACAACGAGATATCCGGAAGCGGAGTCGACCATGCTCAAGCGGGCGTCGGAGCGGCCGTGCCGGAACCGTCTGGCCCGTTCAGGGTGGACAGCGCGGAGCAGCCAAGCGGCACTCACCAGGCCAAGCTGAATCTCGGCGCCGTGATCGCTCTGGGGGTGTTCGGCGGCTTCGTGTTTCTCGCCGCGGTGATCACAACGGTCGTAATTCTTATACGCAGGTAAGGGCAACAAGTGTCGCGTCGAGCCGAGCTGAGCCGAAGCGAGCCGGCTTCGAGGATCATTGTCCTCGTCGCGCATCTCCCTTCTCTGTTTCTCTGATGACATACCGTAGCACATACCTCTCTATATATACATAAACGTTTTCGAGCGGACTGTACATTGTATCGCTTATCTTGTATTTATTTGATCTATTCTCTATACCCGCTCGTCCACCTGTCTGTCTTCTACCTAACTTGTGATACATAATACGCTGCATTGCAATCTGTATTTCTCTCTCTCATAGAGGATGATCTCGCCCATGCTTACCGAAGTCGCGTGTACATGTCTCTCGGACGAGCCTCTCGATCGCGAACATCCGCGATATCGTCGCGAGTAGGGCCGCGCGCGCGCCCGGGGATAATACTACCACTATTACAACAACTATTAGTACTCGAGCCTTCATTCACCGATCATAAGCTTCCTGTAATTTAGCCAGAAGAACTTACCGCGCGGACGACGTGGCCTAGAATTATGTCGCGCGTTCGGTCGTTTCAGCCGCCGATTAGAAGTTGCAATCGTTGTAATCCGCTTCACGATGAATTCTGCTAATTTGGGTCACGTTGTCGAGACCAATGATTCTTCACGTCGGTCTCGCTATGCAAGAGGCTACGCTATTCTTTCAAGCGCTAACGTGTTGAAGATCAGCAAATTTACCAGCGAGTCACCTTCTCCCGCTAATTAATCGCTTGGACGTAAAAATGAAAACTACTAAAATGAAAATGTAGCCATTGAACGAGACACGATTGAGAAACATTGGTGTGCACCGTGCGTTGAGAGATCTAAAACGCCAGGTGAGCCTGGCGGAGATAATCTGGTCTCCCACAACGACAATTAACACGGAGTCCGTTTGCGTTGCGGTGGTTAGCGGCAGTGGCAGCGTCAGAGGAAGGCGCCGCAGGGGGCTCGGTGGGGTTGGTGCGCTGAGGGGTGGCGATAGTGGTGGCCTTGGGAGGGGTGACACCGGAATGCCCTCGCGTTGGTATACGCTACTGGCGCTGCCCTTCCCCGACCAGCACCTGGGGCGCCGCGACCTCACGGCTCGCCGCGGTAGCGACCACCCTTACTCCTTCAGCCTGTCGGCGGCGCATCGTGCCGGCTACTTCTCAAATCCTTCTCTATAGACCGTCACCATCACCGCCACCGCCACCACCGCCGCCGCCACCGCCGCCGCCGCCCCTCCCTCATACTCCCGCCGCCGATAAAGAGAGAAAGCGAGAGAGAACCGCTCCCTATAAAGCCCGCAACCACCACTACCACCCCAACCCTCCACGCAACCACCGCCCACCACATCAACCATCATCACGTACCACCAACTACCACGCGCCACCTTCGCGAGTGATACTAGTCAAGGTAAACGAGAGCAAGGTTTCTACTTGAGCACCTGCCTTAGCGATAGTTCTCGTTCTCCGACGTCCACGGCCACGGCCACGTTCACGTTCACGTACACGTCCACGACACACCTACGGATTAGATGATGGCTTGGTAGGGCACGCATACGACCGCACCAACACTTTCTACGCGCGGACGAATGTCGCGCGTACGCAAGGGTTCTGGAAACTCTCGGGTCCCGCTGAGAAATCGGACCGAGTCAGTCGCTGGATCGTGACTGATGCTCCAGAAATCTTGAGTATCGCGTCGCATGGCAACCACGACGCAAGATGGTTCGTGTACATTGCGCTTCTCTTCCTCCCGCATCACCCATGTTACTCACTCCTTCGAGGTCACGTTTATGCACCTGTTTACTTCTGAATCCTGAGTATTCACGTTTTATATTCGTCACTCTGTGCCATACATCAAATTCTTGGTGCACCGTAGAACACATTAGCGTTCATTCCATTTCTGCTTTCCACCCTCACGTTGGTTGTAGTTAGTTTGGAGGCTGCTTCGAGCCGTGGTAACAAAGATACATAGAGTTTTCATTTAGCCAAAAGTGTAAGAGCGGAATAGTCGTATTTACTTGCATTCATTATACAGGAGTTGTAGAGATTTTACGTTCATGTAAATAATATTCACATCATGTACTTGCAAGAACCGGTCCGACCGTTCCTCCACTGCACTCAGCGCTTGCTTATCTTCTCGCCGATTTCTGCAACTGTACTTGGTGCTGTGCAATAAAAATTATCTGTAATTAGAACGATCAGTCGACACTGAGAAAGCAATTAATGTGCTCAACCTGCTGTTTACCTGTAGAAACCGTGGAAGAAGTAGTAAGCATTATCGTCACCGTGCGTCGCCCGACTGCAACACCGTGGCCAGCTTCGACAGCAGCTCCTCGGAGAGTCGGGGAGGTCTGAATCGCTATTACCGTCAAGCCTGGGAGAACCTGCACGAGACCGCCGGCCACAAGGCCGGCCATCCGCCGCTCCGACGCAAGGAGACCCTGGATGAACCAGGATACCGAGAGAACTTCCGCGGCAACAACACCGAGCGCGACGGCTCGGAGTTGGTGGTAAGCGACGTCGCCGCTTACCCGTCCAGCAAGCACGCCAGCATCTCTGACAAGAAGCGCCATCATCACCATCACCATCATCATCACGGTAGCGCGACGCCTGACTGGAGACAGTCGCAGTCCCACCATAGATATTAAACGGCGAGGAAAACGGGCGAGGAACTCTGTGTCGTTAAAGTTAGACTCGCTACGTCACACTGTCTACGATCGCGTGGAGCGACTTATGGGTTGTAGGAAGACGTAGCGAGTCCTTAGTGAACGTTCAGCAACGTCAAGCCGCGGCTTGAAGGGTTGAACGAGGGTGCAGGCGAATCTTTCAATACAATTTGTACCTAGGTAAGTCTCACGCGAATCCACAACGGAGAACAGCCGAGATAGATCCTACACACATGTATCGCTCTGTTACGTCGTAAATTATTTATATTATGTCTATTATGAGATGTAAATATATCACGATTGTAGCTTGTAAGAGTAGCCTATACGGTACATCGTAGCCTGTAAGCGCAAAAATGGCGAATCGCGTCAAGTGCGAGGAAGGTAGTAGAAGCTGCTCATCGTAGAGGACATGCCAAAAACAGCAAAGAAGTAATATGTAATAATGATCAAACAGATACGTTAATGTAACGTTCTAACGGTAAGTTACTGTGTAAGATCCGGGGTCTCGCATTGTACGTTTGAAGACACTCGTCCACGGATATCGCAATGATATCGGCAAAATTCACGTCCGTTATGGGTACCTTGGCCTCGCTTTAAAAGTATTGCTATGCTTCCAGACAAACGGGACGCTGCATGTAGGTATCGTTAAGGAAAGGCCGATGTTACCCATTCAGGGGTAAAGAGAGACGTTGCGTTCAGTGCGGCGCGCGCATCTGACGCAAATGTACGAAGGCACTCGGCGTCCTCCTCACCCGGTGCCTCGTGAATCGCTAACGTTTTACCTGCAATATATATGCTACTCTACCGAGTTTCTCCCTGTAATATAAATATGTAACGCATAACTCCCTATACGTATAGTTCTCACTTGTACTTCTTCTTCACAGACTCGTCGAAATTATTAATGTAATTAGTAAGTAACGCACAACTTTTCTCCTGCAGCAACGTTAACGTTTATTTATTGACTGAGATAATCCTACGCGATCTAACTTTGTACATGCATTTTCTAAACTCTACTTGTCGCGGTTAAATTATGACAGTGCCATTTGAGGCAAACTTGTTTGATCACCGTCGAACGAGCAGTTTTGTCATTCAAACATGGTACACGATAATGAATGCTAGCGCATTCGCAAATATAGATCGTTACATATACATATATCGTTAGACTTAATTTTCACATTATATAAATCTAGGAAATAAACGTATTTATACAAACATATATCAGTACCGTTTATCCTGCGCTATAACGAAAAAAAAACTCCAAAATATAGTTTTTTTAAAAGTATTCGTAGCGGTATTAATAATTTCAAATACTCTTTTCTTAACAACGAACATTAATATTGTACATGTTTCTTTAACGTTAGCACGTATGACATTATATTGAGAGAAAGCTTCAATTATCCAGCCATTGTTTGATCAGGCCCTTTACCACTGTTCTAGCCTGCTTTAACTGAGGCGGGTCCTCTTCCGATGAAGGATACAGAATCGCGCAATGTGCAGTGTCTTCGAGTAAATTAACAAATTATATACGCGTTCGCGTATTAATAACCAATAGATACCTATAGTACATTGTACTTACCGTTGATGTAGATGGCTACTTGCGGATGATTGGAAGATTTCGTGATACCCAGCGTGTGCCAAGGATCCAGAGAGCCGTGCACATGTACTACATTCGACACTTTTTGATTCAATGCGCCGTACAGAGTATTCGTCCGAGTAACAACGGATTTCAACATATCCAAGTTGTAACTATAGAAAAAAAGAAACAAGAAAAGACCTCAGTTGTAATCCAACACATTATCGAATCGGACTCATTCAGAGCACAATTTAAAAGTAAAAACAAACCTAGGTCCAAAGATATCGATGCATTGTTGTACATAGAAGTCCACCGGAAAGGTTTCACTGAACAGCTCAGGCCGTGCGGTTGAGGTCTGGAAGAATCCGACCTCTGAGCAAGTTTGATACATCCACTGACGTTCTGCAAACATTATTCAAAGTTTGTTGTTAATGGACATGAAGCGAGCAGAGAAGTAATCCAAGGGTAACACATGAGATCATTTATGAAAGTGCGTTACCTCCTTCCACTTGTTCGTTCCAATTGATACTTCGAAGTGAATGAATCATGTTGTCGTATTTATAATCCAAACACTTCTCCTTGGTAGCATTTAATATCATGCTGTTCATGTAAGCGAGTCTATCAACCGGTCTACCTAGTTCATCATTTGTTAATACATCGCATATAGTATCGACGTTGATGTTAGCAGTTTTAGATTCTTGACGATTGTTCTTGTTATTTTGCACAATATAGGCAAAGTTGTTTGCTAATGATTGGTATAAATTGGAAATATCAGCGGTATGTCCAGGATCAATCGGGTCGCATAATCTATGAAAAATAACTCAGATCTATGAAAAATAACTCAGATAAAGATTGATTGATGTAATGCGTTTCGACAAGCTCGACTTACCTAAACTTCTCCGCTATTTGCTCTTGACCAGTGAGATGATGCAGCATTGTATGGAATTCCGTATTGGCGTTTGCTACTGCGTCAACACATTGTTGAGAATGTTGCTTCAGAGCATTCGCCACAACGACGTAGTACTCTGTAACATGTGTATGTAACTATTTGCATATACAACATACTTTTTAAAGATATACTTTCATCTACCTTGGAAATCGACCAGTGCCAACAACGGTCCACTTGCGGATACCGCACCGTGCACAAAGTGAGGATATTTAAGACGCATCCAAGCAGCCAGAGAACCACCATATGATCCTCCAAATACAATCCATTTTGTATCATTTGGAAATTTGTATTCAATATTAATATTTCTGATGAAGTATGCGAAGTCTTGTAGAGCTATTTCTGAACTTAGAAATGTCAAGTTGTCTGTACTAAGATCTCTGCAAGTAATCATAATAAATTTCATATGTATGGTCATAGGATTTACAACTTATTGATTCTTCAAACTTAAATATAATGGCATCAGGAGCTAGCATTCAAGTTTCTGGTATACACAACATACACAGTAGGGTGACTTTTTCCGTAATAACGATGCTCCACATAAAAACACATTGCACCAAGTTCTTTGGCATAGTCAATCCATAGACCTTCTACCATCCACTTGGGCTTTATTTTTTCAGTTCCAATCATTAAGAATACAGGCCCATTAGGTTTGTAATAGTCGGAATTGACAAAGTATCTCTGTAAAAAATGACAAATTATAAACATAATATAGACTTCATATTAGAGATGTGCGAATCAAGAATTTTTATGTCGATTCGAATAGTATTTATGAAATTTCATTCGAATTCGAATCGAATCGAATAAAATCGAATCGAGTCATTAAAAAATTTAACATGACTATCAAACATGCAAATAATGATGGAAGATTTTAATATGAAAGGAAATATTAATATTGTAATATCATCTTAAAGTAAAATATATATTTAAATATTTAAAATAATTTATAATTAAATTATTAATTATAAGTTAAGGGTTCAAACATACAGGCCCAGATAGCTCGTTTTGTAAACTGATGTGCGCAAACACTAATGTATTTGATTTGTATTCGAATCTTCGCAATTCAAAATTTTCGATTTATTCGGATTCGAATGATAAGGATTCGGATTCGAATCGAATCGAATTGCATTTGATTCGATTCAATTCAATTCGAATTCGAATAGTTCGTACATCTCTACTTCATATAATAAAATAATTTTTGAGAAAAATATATATAAAATAAAATATGTATGTGTGTGTATGTAGAAAAATATAACATTATATTTTACCTGTTTCCAAACACGCATATCTGTTGGGTTAAAAGGATCAAAAATCTGTGTGAACCATTGTTCCTCGGGAAGATTATAATTTTTAAGTGACAAAACAGGCTCTCCTAAATTACCGTTTCTACTTCGGCCTCTCATGAAATTGCGCCATGCTATACTATAGCTTATAACATGTAATATAAGTAGTAATGGTAGCAGAAAACGCATATTATACATTATTGACTCTTATTCTCTATCGGAATAACCTATAAAAGAAAATACAAATATATATTAAGAAAAATATATATTGAAATATCAAAAAAATTAACAATTAAAGTTGATAAAGTATTAACAATATATAATATATTGGCAATACATGCATACAAACCTGTTATATCTTTCTATATTTCATCTTTCATTTTATCTTTCATCCAGAATGGATAATATCAAAAAGAAGAAAAAATATTCAGTAATTATATAATATGTAAAGTTATATTAATATTATATAACATATGTATTATATATAATTACATCAATATATATATATATATTTTTTTAATAATTTAAATATATAATTTTTATACTGCTTGCCAGTTACTAACTCATTGATATTAATAGAAACGAAAGAATTAAAAATGTTATTGAATGTCATATAAAAACGATATAAATCATTACATAAAAATCATATATAAATATAAAATCATATCAAAATATACACTTTAATTTAAAAGCATTTTGCTTTGTACCACATAAATACGCATATAATCCAAATATTTTACTTAAAATTCACTGTATCATTCAATTATTTAAATGTATATTTACTATTATCAAATAATGAATATCTTATTTCAGCAACAAATTACCTTATATTCCAGACAGTAAACGCAAAGTCTTTATATTTCCGTATTATATAATAAAGAAATTTTATTCCTCTCTGGTGGAAACTTTGATAAACACAATGTAAGATCTTCTTCTTCTTCTTCTTTTATATGCTCTGAAAGAAGTGGGTATCCCCATACGCCACTCCTTAACGATGTAAGATTAGTCTGATTGAATTATTCTCCAAGGTTGGTATTCATAGTTAAGTCTTATATTTAAGGACCAATGACGTATATTAGAGCTTGGCAGGGTTTGCACATTTGGACCGATTTTTTAGAGTCGCCGCCTATTGTCTCTCCTCCTAGTCTTAATATCTTAGCAACGGTAATTAACACGCGATGCTCTGTCTCGGGTACAACGCACCTGTAACGCGACGTGGTTCTCTATATTACAAAGATTATCTAACAATTCACATAGACAAATTGTCAATAAGTATTTCTCCCTCTTATACTTTTTAATAAAAACGTCTTTTATACATAACTTTAAACATTTCAAATTATTTATTAATTTATAAATCGAAAGATTTTCAGGACACTTACAACTGTAATTTTTCGCATATAACTTAATAATATTTTACGAATATTACATCGTAAATGTAACTAAAATAATCGAGAATTGAAATTTTGATATTAACTTAATTATAAAAAAAAGATTTTAAATTCTCGCGTTTAAAACATTGAAATTTGGCAGTTAGAGAAGATAGAGAACCACGTCGCGTTACAGATGCGTCGTACCTGAGACAGGGCGTCACATGTCAATTACTGTTGCTAAGACCGGGAGAAGAGATGATAGGCGGTGATTCTCAGAAATCGGTCCAAATGCGCAAACTGTGTCAAGCTTTGACATATATAATTAACGAATAAAATTGAGCTATGAAAACAGTGAATACGTGGAATTTAGATAAGAACAAAAACATGTCAAAATATTCATCAGAAAATATATAATATCGATAACTCTACATATTATGTGATTATTAATTATTTATGCTTATAATATATATTTAACTTGCTAATGCAGATATATGTATTTGCATTCAACATTCACATCATTTACGTACGCCATATTACTTTTGACACTTTATAGGATACAGTGAGAGAAGTTTAATGCCGAGTAACGTTTTCACTCTGTCATAAACTGCCAATTGCCGGCTTCATCCCCCTAGAGTGCTTGATCTATATATATCATTGTTATATATGTCATTGTTAAAAACCAATTATTAATGTAATTAGCAAGTAACACGCAACTTTTCTTTTGCAACAACGTTAACGTTTATTTATCGACTGAAATAATCCTACGCGATCTAATGTTGTACATGCATTTTTTAAACTCTACTTGTCGCGGTAAATTTATGATAGTGCCATTTAGGGCAAACTTGTTTGATCACCGTCGAACGAGCAATTTTGTCATTCAAACATGGTACATGATAATAAATGCTAGCGCATTCGTAAATATAGATCGTTACATATACATATAATGTTAGATGTAATTTTTACATTATATAAATCTAGGAAACGTATTTATACAAACATGTCGATATCATTTATCCTGCGCTATAACGAAAAAGAATTCCAAAATACAGTCTGTTTAAAAGTATTCATAGCGATATTAATAATTCGTATACTCTTTTCTTAACAACGAATCATTCATGTTGCATATTTTTCTTTATAGTTAACATATTACATTATATTGAGAGAAGACTTCAATTATCCAGCCATTGTTTGATCAGGCCCTTTACTACTATTCTAGCCTGCTTTAACTGAGGTGGATCCTTTTCTGATGAAGGATACAGAATCGCGCAATGTGCAGTACCTTCGAGTAAATTAACAAATTATATATGCATTCGCATATTAATAACCAATAGATATCGGTAGTACATTGTACTTACCGTCGATGTAGATGGCTGGTGCTTGCGGATTGGAAGATTTCGTGATACCCAGCACGTGCCAAGGATCCACAGAGCCGTGCACATGTACTACATTCGTCACTTGCAGATTTAATGCACCGTACAGAATATTCGTTCGAGTAACAGCGGATTTCAACATATCCAAGTTGTATCTATAGAAAAAAAAGAAACAAGAGCTCAGTTGTAATCCAACACATTATCGAATCGAATTCAGTCGGGGCACAATTTAAAAGTAAAAACAAACCTAGGTCCAAAGATATCGACGCACTGCTGTACATAGAAGTCCACCGGAAAAGTTTCACTGAACAGCTTAGGCCGTGCGGTTGAGGTCTGGAAGAATCCGAACTCTGTGCAAGTCTGATACATCCATTGACGTCCTATAAACATAATTCAAGGTTTGTTGTTAACGGACATGAAGAAAGCAGGGAAATAATCCAGGAATGAACATACACATGAGATACATTTGATCAAAGTGCGTTACCTCCTTCCGCTTGTTCACTCGCCCAAGTGATATTTCGAAGTGAATGAATCATATTGTCGTATCTATAATCCAAACACTTTTCCTTGGTAGCGTTTAATATCATGCTGTTTATGTAAGCGAGTCTATCAACCGGTCTACCTAGTTTATCATTTGTTAATACGTCGCATATCATATCGACAGTGATGTTAGCAGTTTTAGATTCTTGACGATTGTCCTTGTTGTACTGCACGATGTCAGCAAAGTTGCTTGCTAATGATTCGTATAAATTGGAAATATCAATTGTCTTGGTATGTCCAGGATCAATCGGGTCACATAATCTATGAAAAATAATTCAGATAAAAACTGATTGATGTAATGCATTTCGACAAGCTCACTTACCTAAACTTCTCCTCTATTTGTTTTTGACCAATGAGGTGATGCAGCATTATATGGAATTCCTTATTGGCGTCTGCTACTGTGTCAACACATTGTTGAGAATGTTGCTTCAGAGCATCCTCCACAACGACGTAGTACTCTGTAACATGTGTATGTAACTATTTATATCAACAACATACGATTTAAAGATATACTTTCATCTACCTTGAAAATCGATTAGTGCCAACAACGGTCCACTTGCGGATACCGCACCATGCACCAAGTGAGGATACTTAACACGCATCCAAGCAGCCAGAGAACCACCATATGATCCTCCAAATACAATCCATTTTGTATCATTTGGAAATTTGTACCCAATATTAACACTTTCGATGAAATACGCCAAGTCTGCTAGAGCTAGTTCTGAACTCAGATACATCAAGTTTTTTACACTCAGATCTCTGCAAGTAACCATAATACATTTAATACATATGGTCATAGGATTTACAGCTTTTGATTCCTCAAACTTGAATATAATGGCATCAAGAGCTAGCATTCAAATTTCTGGTATACAACATACACAGTAGGATGACTTTTTCCATAATAACGATGCTCCACATAAAAACACATTGCACCAAGCTCTTTGGCATATTCAATCCATAAACCTTCTACAAGCCACTTGGGCTTTATTTCACCTTCAGCTCCAATCATTAAGAATATAGGCCCATTAAGTTTATAATAGTCAGAATTGACAAAGTATCTCTGTAAAAAATGACAAATTATAAACATGACATTGACTTCAAATCATAAAATAATTTTTGAGAAATATATTTATAAAATATGATATATATATGTAGAAAAATATAGCATTATGTTTTACCTGTTTCCAAACACGCATATCTGTTGGGTTAAAATGATCAAAAAGCTGTGTGAACCATTGTTCCTTGGGAAGATTATAGTTTTTATCTGACAAAACAGGCTCTCCTAAATTGCCATTTCTATTTCGACCTCTCATGAAATTGCGCCATGCTATACTACAGCTTATGACATGTAATATAACTAGTAATGATAGTAGAAAACGCATATTATACATATATTTGTGACTTATTGACTCTTATTCTCTGTTGGAACAAGCTGTAAAAGAAAATAGAAGTATGTATTAAGAAAAATATATATTAAAATGTCAAAAAAATTAACAATTGAAGTTAAACAAATAAAGTATTAACAATTTATAATATATTATATAATTTATAATATATTATAGCAATATATGTGCATACAAACATGTTATCTCTCTATGTTTCATCTTTCATTTCATTTTTCATCCAGAATGGATAATACCGAAAGGAAGAAATATTCGATAATTACATAATATTTTATAAGTTATATTAATATTATATAACATATATATTATATATAATTACAACAGTATATATATATATATTTTTTTTTAATAATTTAAATATATAACTTTTATATTGCTTGCCAGTTACTAATCCATCGATATTAATAGAAATGAAGAAATTAAAAATGTTAAATATCATATAAAAACAATATAGATCATTATATGAAAAGCATATAAATATAAAATCATACAAAAATACACTTTGCTTTGAAACACTACACAAATGCGTATATAATCCAAATATTTTACTTAAAACTCATCATATCACTCGATTATTAAGTGTACACCTAAGCAGAACAAAAAATCATGAAGACATCAAAATAACATCAAAATGATGAGAAAAGCTCATTTTTTCATCATGATTTGGTCATTTTAATGTCATTTTGATGTTATAATTTTCTTTTCTGCCTGGGTATTTACTATTACCAAATTCAAATAATGAATATCTTATTTCAACAACAAATCACCTTATTTCAGACGGTAAAAACTTTATGTTTCCTTATTGTAATAAAGTGATTTTACTCCTCTCTGATGGAAACTTTGATAAACGCAATATAGAATTAGAATTGACTGATTGAATTTATTCTTCAAGTGAGAATTTATACAAGTTCGTTCACAGCTACTTAAAGGTGATGTCATCTTACGTAATTTATAGAGAACTATCGAATGAAATTTTGAAATTTCTGGAGGTTGGTAAAGTATGGTTCGAGTATTGGCTATAATCTGATTTTTATGATATACCACTGACGAGATACTACGGGTGCGTTCACGACACTCAATAGTTGCGCAACTGATGAGTAATTCGTCAACGTTATTGGTCTGAATGTAAGGATTTAACAGCAAGGACCAATAGTCATCGCTCACTGAGCGGTTTTCGCCGCTGAACGCACCCTATAAACCAGAGACACGAATAGTGGTGCGTGTCTTTTCTCTCGCCGCGCACCGGCATAATTGTTAGCTGTATTACCTTGAGTGTAGCTATAGCAGTCGCTATTATCATCGCTCTTCAATTACTTCCGGGTCCCTTGGAGCCCCCTTGGTCAATACGAAAATTTACCCAGGGTTGACAGTCTTTATATTACCAGAGAGGAAACTGAGAGCGGCCAACACGGCGTTTTCGGCGACACCGATTTTTCGCACCGAGAATGGGCGCTATCTGCATCCATTTTAAGAGGGGAACTACGATGCTACATGCACTTTTAGGTCTCGACGTAAAACCTGCATCTGGTGGCTGTCCGTGCTACATCCACTTTCAGGCGGTTTATGTCCGTGCTACAACCATAATAGGCGTACTTGACAAGCACGGTCTCGCGCATTGTTATGCATTTGTAACATGAATTAACATGTTAACATGCACAAAAAAAAATAAGAATTGAAATTGTATATGATTAATATCATGAAGATTATATACGATTTATATCGATATATAAATATATGATAATAAGATAATATTTTGTGTGTACCCAAAATTATTTTTTCAAAATATTTCAGCGTCACGTTAGTATTTATTTATACTCCGGCAGGCGTTTTTTAGCGCAGTTGAGTCCGTGTGCATGTGATTGCATTGAAAGTGTGCGTGACGTACTTGTGCATATACGCGCGCGTGCATATACGCGTGCATATACGCGCGCGCGCGCGCGCGCGCACACACACACACACACACACACACACACACACACACACTCACACACACACACACTTTGGTTTTAGCGCTACGAGTGTTAATAATAATCTTTAGAACTCGTGCGGGGCTAACCAGAACTCTGAATGAAACGTCGGATTTCCGACAATAAATTTTCTGAGTGAGATGGGAGTCACAATTTATGGAAAAATGTAGCGTTTTTACAGTGAAATCCGGTGATCGAGGTGGAAAATTGATTCACACATATTTGCCTATTCACGTATAGGGAAAATATTATTATATTATTATTATTATATATTATTATCTCGATGCACGAATCACTACAGCTCTCTTTCAGCAGTTGAACGTACCTTATTAACAACTATCACCGCTACGTGGATCCCGATGGCATAGGCATACTCGGAGTCGAATTAACGACACGGAGAGGATAAAATGCGAACGTAGCAGTTGTAAAGCATCGCTTCACAAGCTCTGAGCTAAGATCAAAGTGTAGCACACGTCAATGTAGTCGAAAATGTAGGGTTTTGAGAGGACTTTATTTTGGTACCAGAGCCAGGCTTGTATCTCTAACAGTTTAGGAGATATCGAAGGTTAAAGTTTTCAAACATTTCTCCGTTGATATCTCCGCTTCTACTGGGAATAGAGAGTCGGCATTGTAGTCGAAAATGTAGGGTTTTGAAAGGACATCATTTTGGTACCAGAGCCAGGCCTGTATCTATAACCGTTTAGGAGATATCGAAGATTAAAGTTTTCTAACCTTTCTCCGGCGATATCCAGCTTTCCTCCGTCGATATCTCCACTTCTACTGGGAGTAGAGAGTCGTCATTGTAGTCGAAAATGTAGGGTTTTGAGAGGGCTTTAATTTGGTGCCAGAGCCAGGCCTGTATCTCTAACCGTTTAGGAGATATCGAAGATTAAAGTTTTCCAACCTTTCTCCGTCGATCTCCAGCCTTCCTCCGTCGATATCTCCGCTTCTGCTGGGAGTAGAGAGTTTGCCATGTAGTCGAAAATGTAGGGTTTCGAAAGTACTTTAATTTGGTACCAGAGCCAGGCCTGTATCTCTAACCGTTTAGGAGATATCGAACATTAAAGTTTTCCAACCTTTCTCCGTCGTTTTCCAGCCTTCCTCCCGTCGATATCTCCGCTTCTACTGGGAGTAGAGAGTTTGCCATGTAGTCGAAAAA